GAATCATAACATAATGGAATGAAAATGAACAAGGCAATCTAGCTCAATCTCCAATAAATGGAACCATTTAAAATCATCAAGAGTCCTAGATATGAAGAGCAGAGCTTAGCTCTACTATTTTACCAGCTATGTGATTACTGAATAAGTTATTTCACTTCTGGTAGGTTACCACTCAGTAATATGTCAGTAACATCTATTCCACCTAATTCAGAGAGCTGGAGTAAGAATTTTCTTTTGAGAATTGAACGATATCACTATGTAAGCACAGTATGAACTATAAAGAATTGTACAAATACAAAAGTATTATGCTGAAAGGGTCAAATTGAGTCTGTACCCTGCAGATTTACTTTTTCAAAAATCTTAGATTTAAATTTTTTTTAAAAATGTAGAGATTGGAAAAAGTCAACTCCAGGCCACAAGACAACTCCAACTTTACAAACATGCAAACTTTACAAATCCTTCTAAATGGTAATCTATTGTAATAAAGGATAAAAAATGACTGGTAAATTTCAAAATCCTCAAGAAAATAATGTATAATTAAAGTAGGAAATCTCACTTTGTTTGGTAAGAAAGATCTAGGCCCTGTTTTGCCATCAAAGGCTTTGTTTTGGGGATTTTTTTGGTTTGTTTGTTTGTTTGTTTGTTTGCAAATTTGTGGTAGAGATGGCAGAGATTCAGATTATAGAATAAAGAACACTACTGACTAGTACCTTAAAGACCAAAAGAAAAATCACATCATCCCGTTGCCCTCATTAGCCTACAATAGAAGGTGATGAAACAAAACCATACATACATACCCAAACCATCCCATAAAAATGACAAGGACACTTAACATGGAAAAATCTGTATGAAGACAAAACTTTATATATATTTTCATAAGCACATAGTAGAGGACACAAAAAGGCATTTGGAAATGCAGGGGCATTCCAAACAGGGAAGGAGACACAAATTGTTTAAAAAAAAAAATCAATGAAAAGTATGCATAAAATAAAAGAACCCTAAGGCCTAAAAAGCTACTAACTGGGGAGAAAAATCACACCCCACTCTTAAGTGTGCCAAAGCCCTTTAGAGAAAGATTATACACAGAATACTTTATAAAAGAAAATTATAACATATGGTATATAAGTTGATGTGGAAAAATGTGGGTACTTTTCCACTTTCACAGTCAGAATTAAAAAATGAGAAAGCAAACTCCAGAGATGACAGATATAATAACCAAGGTGAGAAATGTAATTGGTAACTTCAAGGTAGCAGTGAAGCAACTCCTGGGCTAAAAAGCTCCAGGAATGAGTAAAGGGGGCTAAAAGTAACTCTAACACTTAGGTTGAGCTGCAGAACCATAAAGCTTAGTAAGTATTTGAGAAGCTAGAACCTGTGCCTGGATAAGCAGCTTTAAGTTTCTGTGGCTTAACTATCATCTCAAACATAATTGAGTACCTAATATGCGTCAGGCACATTGCTTGGTGCTGTTGGGAGTAAGTCCTGAGTCTGCTAAAGCAGATAGGTTCATACCCAAGTAAGTCAATTAGAAGACACATGATAAGAATGGCAGGAGATGCATAAAGAGGTTGTGGCATGGTGAAAAAGAGACCTCATTAGAATATAATACAAGGTCCTGGGTAATGCTGGGCTCAGAGAGTACCTGAGGTCTAGTGCCAACTCAGCCCTGAGCAGGCTGTGCATCTCAGAGCAAATCATGTGTACTCTGCACTACCGCTCTCACATTTACACCAGGAAAAGGTGGACCATGTGACTTCTATTAGTCCTATCCTTTTATATTTTCTATTGCATTCTTGGAGGTCAATCTCTGCATTAAGCTATAAATAAAAAGACTTTATGAGACAGAAATTCAGGAGAATGTAAATTAACAGCAAAAGATGGTGAGAGCTGAGGCATAAGACCATGGCACAATCCATTCACCCTGTAAATAAAAACTGTTACCTGCTCTCTGGGGATTTCACTAATGGCACAGAACATTCTAAATGGACAGAAATGAAAAAGAAAATGGATATAAACTTTCAAACGTATAAAATTTTAAGCAAAAATAACATGAATTATGAAAATGTTTTGAGTAGCAAAGAATGCACTAACATTTAAATTAAATATAAAGTAAAGCAAATCTTGTACTTCTAACAAATATTATGTCATAATATACAGCAGATGAAGAGATGTAGCTGCATTTTAAAAAGTCTGAATATCCATAAACCTTTCCCCATATTTGTCTTTAAAATGTATGTATGCAAGGGAAATGTTTTTTTTCTTCACGTATTCAAAAAAGGTTATATTAAAAAGAGAGAGAGAGATTGGCAGAATTGCAAGAAAGAATCAAACCTTCAGAAATTAAATGCGACTGAGCTGCTTCGCATGAGGATCCCATATTCCAAACTGTTTATTGTAGGAAAAGAATCACTGAGTGCTGTCTTCATCCATCCAGCCATCCGCCATCCGCCACCCATCCAAATATATACATACATAAGAACATACAGACATACATTTGACCATACACAATCGTTCCTACTAAAAACACAGTAGCATAATAAGAGCCAAGAGGAACATAAGGACGAGTGAGAAACCATGTCTTGTTGCTTAAATGGGGAAACAAAGCTTGCATTCTCACAAGGAAACAGGAAAGAATCTCTGTCATATGGGGCCCCAGTGCCACATTTGCCATGAATAGGATAAGCAGTATAGCACGCTGGGTAAGGACAATGGCCTCCTTTCAAAAACTTACTAGCCACGAAACCATACAGAATGACATCTCTCCTCTTTAAGCTTACATTTCTTTATGCGAAAAGACACTTACTACATAGGGTTAAAAAGAAGGCAATGGAATGATAATGAAAAAGCACAGTGCCTTACAGACTACATTTTCAATGTCTGACAGAGTAAGAGCAGGAGAAATAACCAAAGTAGAAATTTGATAGTCAGAGTAAGACGTATGTGGGAACCCAGGGAAGGAAGTGATGATTACTTCTGATCTAGGCCAGGCCTAGACACTTTGGAGAAGGTGATTCAAGTAAGATTTTGATAGGTGATAAAAGGTGTGGAATGGCATGTTACGAAAAAGCAAAGAGCTGAGCTAAGAGAGACAGAGTATCAGAGATTACACAAGTGTCCCTAGAGAACAAGAGAGACAGTACATGAACCTCACACAGTGCAGTAAAGAAGGTGGAGCAGCTCAAGGCAGGGAGAGTCACCCAAGAGCTAACTCACTGCAATTCATAACATTCAGAGTGAAGAAGGCTAAGGAAGACCATTATATGCAGCTCTCCTCCCTCTCCTGCATGCCATTTATTAGCTGACACTTAATATAGGACCTGCCCCCTATATTGGTTGTGCATCGAATGTCATACCCATACCCACTAAGACTTCCTCACACATTTGTCTTCTACTCGATAAGGGACCATGTCTTTATTCCTTTCATATTAGAGGGCGGTCCATTTTAGTTCTCCCCAAAAGTTAGGAGACAAAATAGCAATCCCCCTGGTGAGCAGAACAGGGGAAACATTGAGAAAAATAATAAGAAGAAGAAGAAAGCCAACATATGGCTCTTCTTGTCCTTGGGAGGAGGAATTCTCTTTCAGATCCCATTCCTGAGTTCTGCAATCACTGAAGAACAATGAAGCAAAGAAAACTAGTTCCAGGGAGTCCTGATTAACTGCAAAGCTGCAACCTCCTGCAAGGTCAATGTAACTTCAGGCACTTTGGTGGGGAATAGCAGAGCGCCAAGGGCATTGTTTATTGTTTTTCCACAGAAGCTCTCTGATGGTGTGGACATTGCACTTTCTGGAGAAAAGATGCCGAAAGACCCACAGCCACAGCTCACATGTGCATGCGGGTGACTGGCCTCCCCACCATCTGCCTAAGCACCCAGCCCCCCTTATACAGCTAGTCATCTGGGCCAGCCAGGCTTCTGATTTCAGTCCTAAAATACTAATAGACTAGTAAAGTGTTGACTGGGGGCAGGGAGAGGACTAGAATGAGAAAAGAGAGGCTGAACTCTATCACAGAGTGTGAAAAGATTTCACGCAAAATTGCTGTAACAAAAACACTAATATCATCCAAGAAGGAAGTAGAAACATCCTGGAGAGAATACGGTAATTTTTTTTCTTTTTTTTGAAAAAGCAGGATGAGGGGAGGGAGGAAAAAATAGAGAAAGGGGGGCTGAATCTTCTTTCACTGCCGCTTCTGTCTCAGCAACCAGAAGTCTAATGTTCTTCTGTTTGTTAGTTATAACACATTCTTTCATGAGTTTGGGTGAACTGCTGACATTGATTAGCTAAATGTGGCATCACTTCATCCAAACAATATGGCATTCTTTGTGCTTCCTATGGGGTTTAGCAGGTTGAATGTGCACATACATATATGCCTAGGATGCTAAGCTCATGCAGATCTCCAAACTCCACTTGATGTTAACTGAATGTACTGCTATTAAAACCCCTAACACAAGGCTTCACTCACATTGCTCAGTGCGCTTCTACACATACAGATCTCACAGAGCTCTCCAGATAACTTTATCCTACAGCAGCTTAGAGGAGGAAAAAAATAGCCAGAGAAGTCAAACCAATTTTAGGTGTCTTATTAGGTTCACTTCATGTGGGTTTCTCTTTAGAGTACATGGCAGCAGTTTGAGACACTTGTCCAATGGAAAGGGGGAGAGTCCACTGGGGGGTAGACACATTTCTGCAGGACAATGAGAGGAAGTAGAGAATAATGCAACAGGACAGTGAGTTACAAATGAAGAAAGCAGGGTCCTAGTTTTGGCTCTAGCCTTTACTCATTGTGTAACCATAGCCATATAAGAGGTCTCACTCTCTTTACCCTAAAAGAAGAGTTGGCTTAGATGGTTCCTAGGTGTTCTTAGATGTCAACCAACTATAAGAAACACATTACAAATTTTTGAGCTACCTTTATCCAACTCATTGTGCTGTCAATCACGTTTATTATATTGAGCTCTCCCTCCCACTTTGGCTGCCCAACTCTGAAATACCTACACTTACCTTCACCTCCAGGTTGCTTGTATGGGTTGTACTTGGGCTTTGGAGCAACTACTGGTGCAAACTTTTTGGGTGGCTGTTGTGTAGACACTGAAATGCTGGGGGTCCCAAAGGAATGCGTGGTCTCCATCCGTGCAGGCACATGGCCTAGGGGCTCACCAGTACTTTTGGGTGGCAGCCAAGATGGGTGAGACATTGTTGGAATCTGGAATTTTAAAAAAATGCAGTTGTTTTTATGGAAGCATGAAAACGAGGCAACATAGCTTAATTCATTGTTATTTCATTTTAATCTATACTCAATAAAATCTTGAAAAAGCTCTCTGACAAGAAAAAAGAAGAGAGAAGATGAAAGAGGGGAAGAAGAGAAGAAAAATTGAGCACTCCGATGAACTAATCTTAAATACCTCTCTTCTAACAGGTACCTATGTTAGTGCCCAGCACTCCTCAGACAATAGCTATAAATAAGAAATAATCCCTAACCTGAAGGAGTTTCTATGGTAAGAGAATCTTATACCAATAAGGTTGAAGAAAGCTTCATTTGTATTAATGATCTATTCAAATAATTATCACACCAATTAAATGGTGATATGTACCTAAATGAGGTGATAAGTTATCTAAGTGAGGATTAAAAAAAGTGTTGCTGCAGAAAAAAATAAGATCACTCCTTGCTAGCAACAGAAGACCTCATTGACTCAGTGACCTTCAGACAGAGCCCAAGTGCTGAGTAGAGGGTGGGCCTGAACAATGTTAGCAAAGTTACATGTACACAGGACTTACATTTAGTGTGCGTAGAGGAGGAATAAGAAAAAGTAGCTAGTAAAAGCTAAAATATGGAATGGAACCAGAGCACAGTCAGCTTTGCCTGCAAGCTTGAGGAGCTTAAACTTATTGAGGCATTAAGGAACCTCCGAAAGTTTATTCTTGAGACAGGGCATAAAAAGTACTTGGCAAGATACTTTAAAATGGTCCCTCTGGCAGGTGCAATTCTGCCCCCCACCAAGGGGCACTTGGAACTTGGAGGATGAGAACACCATTTGCCACTATGCCTAGGGTAGTTACTAGCACTTAGTGGCCAGGTGCCAGAATATTCAATACCTGTAATGCACTGGTCAGCTCCACATGACAAAGAAATGCCCCATGAAGAACTATGCTGAACTGATACCACACTGGACCTTTAAGAAAAACTTAACTAGGAGGGGGACAGACCAGCCTAGACCAGGTACTGTTCTAATCAGATTAAAATTCACAATGTGAGGAAAGAAAAACGATGCCTCTTGTGTCAGAGTGAGCCAATCACCCCTGCAGGCAGCCTGCAAGCTGTGGCTGAGCTCAGCTCAGTGACTGCTATTGGGGAAGGCTCTCCAAACCTGATTGCAAGAGCTCTCCAGCCCAGGGAGGCCCGGAAGGCACCCTCACCCGCCCCAATCCCAAATCCACCCAGTAATTTATTAATTGAGCTGAATTAATTGAGAGGGCTACATGATTACCTCCAGATGTCTGTAAAGACAAGGAGCACTAGAAATGCAGAAAAAAATAAACGCCTCAGCACATGGCATGGAAATGGAGAGATGGGGTAAACGTGAAAGAAGAGGTATGATGTTGCCTGGGTGTTAGCATCAGCTCACAAGGGATAAGTGACAAGATCTTGAGCAGCCCCCATGCCTTATCAGGTGCCTGAGATACTTCCACTCCCTCAAAATTAAGATAAAAACTCTGTCCTCCTCAACTCCTCATCCAAGTTTTTATGGCAATAAAAAAAGATAACAATATTAAAGTGTTTTATATATTGTAAAGTGCTATTTAGAGGGAAGAGAGCAAACTGTTGGAGGTATAGTTTTTTCAATTAAAAAAAATATAACATTGACCTGGCTGGGTGGCTCAGTTGGTTGGAACATCCATCGACCCATTTGGTTCAATTTCAGGTCAGGGCACCTAGCTAGGTTGAGGGTTTGATTCCTGGTAAGGGCGCATACAAGAGGCAACAGATCAATGTTTCTGACATGCATCAATATTTCTCTCTCTCTCTCTCTTCCTCTCTCTAAAATCAATAAAAAACATATCCACAGGTGAGGATTTTAAAAAAGAAAATAACATTAATATCAATGAAAAGGACTTTAAATTGACAATCAAGAGGGTTTTGTTACTGAAGCCAGACACTAGCATTTCAGTTTGGTTACAGGGCCTTTCTTCCCCACCTCTACCCCCGCCCCCTTGTATCCTATGCACACGCTGTGCACATATACATTTACTAAATGGTGAGCCCCTGAAAAGGGCAGGGAGCATATTTTACTAATTCCTAAATCACCATTGCAAGGCCTAGCACAAAACCAATGTAGAAAAACATCTTTGAACAGCTGGCTTACTCATGGTTGTTAAACCTAGATGCATATTTAGAATTATTTGAGATTAAAAGAAAAGAAAAGAAAGAAAAGAAGAGAAGAGAAAAGAAAAGAAAAGAAAAGAAAAGAAAAGAAAAGAAAAGAAAAGAAAAGAAAAGAAAAGAAAAGAAAAGAGACCAAAACCACATCCATCTCTCAGGGTTGAGAAACACTAATTTTAGTTTTTATTTATTTTAATTTTTAAATTGATTCTCGGTCTTCTACTAAAAAGGGATAAAAGAGTCTGTTCTGCTTTCAACATGACTCAAGTGAGTATAAGTGGGGAACAAGTAGAGTAAAATAAAGGTTTGAAAATTTTAATGCACGGTGCACTTTTGTAGTATAAATTTTATTTGTACATTTTTAATGGGTTAATATTATCCTTGCCACTTCTCTGTAACTCTAAAGTTATTTCAAAATGGAAACTTTTAAAAAACGGGTTAATATAGGATGCAGTGATTTTGAAAGCAAAGAAGCACATTTCCAGAGCAATTCCACATTGCCAGCTGACTGTGGAATCCTTCTGGGAGAGTGTGAACAATGTAAACTTAAGCATCTATATGGAAACCACTGACTCCACCATCTTTTCTGCCTTCCACAGCACCATCTATTACCCCCACACTGACCTCCCCATGGAGGCTCCACCTCCTCTGAATGCCAGGGTCTGGCCAAGTCTCTGTTGCAGATGATCTTCAGAGCATCTTCTCCTATCATTCTTCAGAATGTCAATAGTGGCCCAGTGACACCATTCCCAGGATTTATAATGAATGTTCATGACCCTGAACTTTGCTCATGCTGTGCTCACTGCTACAATGTCATTTCACAGCCTTTACTTTCTACTGAGCCTTTTTATTTTAAATCTTGACCCAGCTCAAACATCTCTGATGCTATAAAAATTTATCCCCAAAATGAGTAGCTTAATTCTAGGGTCTTCTAGTATTTGTTTCATACTTATAACAGTCCACACAGAAGCTATTTTTTCACCTGCTGATCTGCTTTAATAAGCTGGAAGCTCCTGAGTGGTCTCACTATACCAGGGCTGCCTGGTTAGGAAGCTCTTATAAAAATATGCTATGCATGAATGGCTGAGTGAATGAATGCTTATCTCCTTGGTTACTCATCCCTTTCTATAATCTATCTCCTTCCTTAACATCCACTAATATATTATCTCTTTTTTCCTCCCTTAATTTAGCAATATAATGAATCATGTTGCTAGATTTCCAGAAATTGAACCAGCTTTGCACTTCTAGAAAAAAGTCCTATTCAATCTCAGTTGCAGTGTTTTGATGTGTCAATGAATTAAAAGGATATCTTTTACAGATTTTTTGTACATATAATCATAAGATTGTTCTGTAGTGTCTTTCTCTACTTGCTTTACTTATCATTACTAAGTTTAGATATGAGGGTTCTTCACCCTTTTCTACTCTTTATATTAGTTTAATGATGAGAATGAAATTATGTGATCTTTAAAGGTTTACCAGATTTCATTGTAAAGTCATCTAGATATAACAATTTCTTAAATAATAGATCTTAGTCATATTTCCAATCACTTCTATAATTGTATAGGTGTTATGCTTCTTTTAAGGTCATTTCTCAGCATTTATATTCTGCTGGAAATTCTGCTAAATCTTTGGGTTTTATCTCTGTTCCCTTTCAACCAAACTAACTCCCTGTTAAAATTGATGTCTATCTATGATGCATCATTTAGATCCTGGGCATCATTTCTTATTAGTACTTAAAGACATAATCTTTGTTCTCCATCCTCCAGTTCAAGTTACACACCCTTTTACTCCACTCCCATGGCACCTGGAATACCACACTGTCCCCATACTCATCACACATCACTCTGCCTCTCTGTTCCTCTGTATCTCAAACTAAACTATTGAATCCTTGAGAGGAGAAGTAATTATCATTCTCCAATCCCACGGCCTAATACATGATAGGTACTAAAAAAAAAATGTCTGTTAATTTAATAAATGAATACATTTATGTGTCTGGCACGGGAGCTTGAGATAAATCAGATTTTCATCCTGTATTCAGGTGAATCAAATTCCATCCTGTTCTCAAGAAGCTTAAAGCCTACCTGAGGGAGATATATTTATATATGTGACAAGAGAAAGACAAAAAACACAAAGCATACAAAAAAATCAGGGTATTTGAAAGCTGGATGGTTCTAAAAGGTAAATGGAGCAACAAGGATAATGCCTGGAAATACAGTGAACTCAAGGAAGAAACAAGGCATTTCTGTGAGGTAAGGAGCAGCCCACTTGTACTAAAATGAGGGGCTCATGGAGAATACTTAGGGAAAAGGTTTGGAAGATAAAATAAACTTGTGCATGAAAGGTCTTATATAGAGAAATAAGAAGCTAGAACTTTTATCTTTGAACAGGAATGTAATAAGAGTGAAAATTGAAGGTAAGGAAAGTTAATCCATGCAGGATGGATCCAAGGACGGCAACAAAGAGGATAGAGTCTTTATGGCCCCAGTTCCAGTCTCAGCTCTGCCAGCATAACCCTCAGTAAGAAATGATACTCATTTGCAAAATGAATGTCAGTAAAGTCCCAATCAGCTCTAATATTCTATAGTGTTTTCCTTCTCTGAAATCTTCATTACAGCCATTCATTTTGACAAATGGGTTTGAGGGAGCCTCACAAGTTTGGTGAAGGAATAAACTAGAACATGTCAGTTGGGGTTTCTTAGCTTCTCAAAGAGACACCCAATGTAAATACAAAGAAGCTGTGGTGAGAGCTAGTTTTGCTGGACCAAAACTTACCCTGCTCTTACTTCCTCTGGTTCTAGATCAGTTTCACTCTAAGTTTGTAATCA